TATCATTAATAATTCGGTTCTGAATTCGTATAAAACAAAATAGATCTAAGCCCGTGAAAAGATGATTGCTGATCTCGCTAGTAGGCGAACAGAGCTTTCAAGCATCAATATCCAAGTCTCACCTATGACTAATCTTAGAAGAATCACACTCTTCGAGTCAGTGATGACAGGTGATAAGTGTGTTTTAAAAGCTTATATATGCTTTTAATCTTGATAGATTATGATTAATTTGAGCGGATTGCTACCTAATTATGTGAACTTATGTGATTTGTAGGAAAATGTCGAGGTTGAGTGCTGTGGATGCAAAAAAGTAGTGATTTTGAGCTTAATTGGAGATTAATTTAGGCCTTTGAAGTTCACTTGAGGTTCTAATTAATCAATTGGAAGAAGTTATGGATGCAACTGGATGAGTTCATGAGATTAAGGATGAAAAGTTGATAAGTGAAAAGTTTGGGGGTACCAAAATGGAAGTTTTGAAAAGTTGAAGGACCAAATTAAAAAAGGGGGCCATTGGTGGCCAGAGGGTTTGCAACCCGAAGGTTACCTGTGGCTATTGAATTTTCCTATATGCCGCGGGTGGCTAGTGGGTTAGCAACCCACGGACTATGCGTAGCCTGGTTCAGTTGGACGATTTTGAGCACTCTTTTTTTATTATTATTATTATATTTTTTTTGAGTTTGTTTTGGATGAAATCTCTTCTAAAAACTATAATACTATATAAAGATTGAAAGGGGAGGAGAAAAAGGGGTTCCACAACTTGAGAATTATAAAGAAACAAATCGAAGAAAAGTAAGACATCAAGTGTTTGAAGCATTGACTTGGGTAAGAAGAGTATCTTGGTTCAAGATTCATTAACTTTTCTACATCTTAATTCAAAATTCGGTGATGTACTTAATTATTATTCTTTGTTTTTCTTCATCCATTATGAATAGCTAAACTTTTTATTAGAGCGAATTTATTAGAGCGAATAATGTAGTTTACTGAAACTATTTAATTCAATTTTTTAGATTCTAGATATGTGTTGATTTTATTTATAGTGTTTAATGCTCGAATTACTTTGCCAATAATTCATTGATCTTGTGAATTTATAGCGAGTAGATCACACGCAGTAAAATTCGGGAACTAGTGTAAAAGGATAGAAATTCATTTTCTAGTTAATGTTGTCGTTACATGGACTCTTAAAAATTTAATACATTTAATTAAATTATATCTTAATTCGCATAGAGATATGGAATTTATTTAGCTAAATAGAATAAATTTGAGACAAGCAAAATTGATTATGTTAGAAGAATTCGAGGAACACAACAATGTTTTGAGTCTTGATTATAGAATTAAAGGTGATCTATAAATGAAATTGTATGCCCTAATATCTCCTTTATAATTAAAAGTGTGATTCGATTTTTGTGTGCATTTGATAACATTCTAGCTAGTATAATTTAGATCAACCCCACAAATCATAAATTATTTTCGTCAAATAGAAGTAGAAATGGTAAATTAAGAATAAATAATAGTATCTGTGGGACGATTATCCAGACCCACGGATTCACCTTATTATTTGTTACGATTCTTATACTTTAAGAGATATAAAATCGACAACAGGCTGGCCCAATCACTTCCTTAGTTGCTTCAACAAAAAATACAAATGAAATAAATAAATTTCAAAATAATATATAATATGAAAGAAAAAATTACACTACCAAAAAATAAAAATTAAAATGAAATTAATTAATTAAAATAAAATAAAAAATAGAAAAAAAAAATGTCCAGCATGAGTGTTGGGGAGAGGGTGAGGTGTTTATAGGACAAATGGGGTTGGGTTTTAAACCTTGAAGCATAGAATTGCGGGACTTTTGTGCAGTCGCTCCTAGGGGTGTCCAAAAATCCCGAACCGAACCGGACCGAACCGAACTCGAACCGAACCGAACCGAACCGAGCGGTTCTTCATAAATTAAATACCCGAACGGGTACCCAAATCGAGAACCGATGGGTTTGGGTCGGGTCTCGGGTCTAGATCAAGAATACCGAACCGAACCGAACCCGAACGGTTCCATAATTATATTTGGACCCGATGGGTCCATTTATTAAATACCCGAAAGTTTTGGGTCGGTTCGGGTATCTTCAGAACCGAACCGAACCGACCCATGGACAGCCCTAGTCGCTCCATTTCTCACATGGTTGTTCCAATTTTATTTTATTTTTTCTTCCTACTTATCTTTAACATTAAATTTAACCATTTCTCCAGGTGGTTTCTTTCAATGAATTATTTCACACAACCTTGCTGCTCTATGAACAGTATACCGGGGATGGTGACGATTTTTTGTCATAACTAAATAAAATTAAAATATGTTTCCTAATTAAATTTATATTAATGCAGTACTAAAAACTATATGAAGATGCAAATGTCAAGTTAAAACAAGTAATGAGTTGTCTACCATTAAACCTTTTTTTCTAAAGTCATTAGCTAAAATATTTGCACAATTACTAAAGGTACTTTGAAGAGGCTTTGGAGGCCTTGTTTTACTTGTATTGGATGGTTTTACCATATTTTTTATTTATCCTCCGAATTTTTATTTTGTCGTTCTCATAAAATTATGACCACTTGGCTCGAACTCAAACTTGAAAATTTCAACTTCCTCGTTGCTTTTACTCACAAATTCAACTTTAGAGCAATCATTTGATTCGGAGGATTGCTTGATTGCTCCAACATCATTGAATGTCACTTTTTTCATTTTACTTCATTAGGATTAACTCTTTAGTCTCAACATGCTCTTTTTCTTTAGCCGGTGCTTAATTTCTTGGGTTGGAGGACTGGTTTTTTTTTTTCAATAGTTTGGGCATTTTTGCCTCACCTCCATTGTAGTTTTTGCACATATTCCGTATGGTCGGTCTCGTTAATTCTAATCAATTCATGGTGTTGCTCGTCCAATGTCAATAGATTCGATTGGGTCACTTGAATCTCAAGATTCTTAATGTAATCCGATTGATTTTGGAATATTTTATCGGTCTTGCTAAATTGAGCAAGGAGATCTTGAAGGGAAGTCTTGCTCAACTTCTTGTAGTTGTTCTTGTTGACGGTCCGGTAGAGATGATTCCAATTGATCTTTGTAGTTGTTCCAAGAGAAGTTCGAGAGATTATTTCGACTCAGACTTTAAGTATAGGAGTAGGGGCAAATTAAAAACTTGTATTACTAGTGGTCCCATGATTCTCCGAAGGATAAGTCGTCCTTATCAATGACCGATGGGGTAAAGACATTGCAATGAGCAAGTCATCCTCATTAATGTCGAGAAGCAATTAATATCCTGTAATTTTCTTTTGAGAAAGAAATGAAAACGAAAATCAAAGACTATTCAAATTAATCTAGAATAAGCTCCCCCTTAAGCTGTGAAAGAAAAATGATATTTATAGTCTTGTGTAGTTGACATAGAGTTTTGTATCTTTAAAGTTCCAAAACCTCACCTCGAAACAAAAGGGAATTACATAGGAAATTGTTCCTCTTACTTCCAATTTTGAATTTGCTTTTCTTTTTTTGTTTCTTGAATTTTTCAACTCACCCCATACATACATTTTCCGTCTCGAACCGTCGAATTCGTGAAAGTTTGAAACTCAACTTCTTCTAGTTTTCTTTCCATTATCATCTATGTAGCTGATGCTCAGGAATGAAGCCTAAAACATAAAAATGAACCGAAATCAATAATAATCAATGCAAAAATACTCGATATAGTAACATAGAAACTCCATTTAAGAGTCGAGATAAGTGTAAGAATTACAATTGTAAATTGCTGTTGAATTTGAAAGAATTTGAAACAAATTAGATAGCTGTTGTGAAGCAAGGATGAGTCATATCTATTGAGATGTCTCAACAAACCAAGAGGAGGTGATGAGTTTAAGGTCCACCTTCTTTTTCCCTTTGCTTTCAATTAATATTTTGGAGCTCAAGTGGAGGCGTGAGGTCCATTTCTATGAACTAACACCATGAAATGCAAGAACTCAAGATTCAACATCAAAGGTATTTTCATTCATTTAATTTTCTTCATCCACTACAACTTTCTATTATTTCAGAAGGCTGTCAAATAATGAAAATGGAAATGATATCGAGCGTATATGCCGACACTCTACGAAATTTTTCTTACATAGCTCATTAATTGATACCTTCTAAACTGTTTCTACCACCCTATTTATGACATCCCTCTTCCTGTACTGGTCCACCAATATAAACACAGCATATACTGAGAAACCATATATAAGTATGTTTGGTGTGTGCTGCATATAGTTTCAGACAGATCTTGGTCTATTCGTCGGAAAATTTTTCTACAAGCCTAATTTCTCTGTTTTTGAAATATAATTCTCTGGGACTGAAGCCCAGTTTCTGTATTTTTGTAGCATAGTAGTTAATTTGTATGAAATCTGTTGAACTTTAACCCTTTCTATAAATTCATTTGGTAACTGAGATTATGGAGATACCTGAGTAAGGTTAATACGGGGAGTGTTTAGTACGCGAACTGCATATGACAGTAGATGTTATCTTATATTTTTTTTTTCTTCCTTAATACTGTGTACAGATGAAAGTGGAGTTACGATTGACAATCATGTTGTCCCAAATGAATGCTTTAGATCAATTGTTTGAAGGTAAGTTCTTCATCATTATTGGATAAACTGTACTTTCATCGTATTTGGTACTGATCGTAAAAGTATATCATGTATCTAAATAAGAAGAGAAATAAGGATGTTTAGATTCATAAGGATATACATTAACAAATGGAGTCAATACCAATTGAATATTAAATAACGAAAATAAAATTTTTTTTTTTTTTTTTTTTGTCTCTAAGAATGATTCCAACCGTTTCAATGCAATGACAGTGTCTTTCACAGAGCTGAATCTGCGATGACCATGAATGGAAATCAGAACGGAGAATTATATCTGTCGAATAGTTTGAGGAGGCATGCAGTTCCCCTGGATTTCTCAACTAACTCAGATCGTATAGTATTTGGAATAAAAGCTATGGATGAACTTTGGAACAGTCCAAAAACTTTGGATGATTTTGCCAATGACAGGAAATATGGAATTAGAGATACTCTGGTAAAGGAAAATCTAAATGGATTCTTGTTTCATCTAAGTGATTGCAAGAGGGGTGGAGTACTATCAGCTTTTGATGAAACTTATCGTAATGAAAATGTATACAGAGATACCGAAATTCCATGTATCAATGCTTTGAAAATGTACGAGACAGATCCAAATTTATATGCTGATGACAATGCTTCAGAATATGAACTGCCTGAGCTGATAGTATGCTACAAAGAAATTAACTGTCATGTTAAGGACATATGTATTGATGAAATTAGGTATACAGAGGATAAAATGATGATAGAAAGCTGCAAATCTGCCTCAGAAATTTCTTTTGGCAAAGATACATCAAAGGAATGTCGTCCCAGTGATTTGACACAGACAGGCGAAGGCGAAGCAAATTGCGGTGCAACTGGCCAGGTCGAGACTGATGTTTCAGAAGAAGGATGTTTCGTAAATAGAACACTTCCTGTGCAAGATTTTGGTACATGGCGTTGCCTCAGGTCTTTTCTCCATGACGTTCCAACACTGCCTGATCAGGTTAGTGTCCAAAAATCTCCATGGAATCACCTCTGCATATCGAATGTTCACACAATTGGAAAAACAATTCTAAGGAACTTACAATAGCCAACTGATAATAAGAGTATAATTGTTCCCTTGTCTTTTAGAGATAGATGCTTGTGCCTATGAAATTGTTTTGATAAAATAAAACTAACTTGCTCAGCAGATTCCTTCTGGAAATGCAATTTCAAATAGCCCTGCTGCAATAATAGTAGAAACAGAACCAAATAAAGGAATTCAGTGCATGAACAGCAAAGAAAGCTTAGAAACGAGTATTGAAAATGTCAGTGCACAATCCTTTAACCACAAGGATATCAATCATGAGGACTTGTCTCCCAATGGCCATGTTCAATACGCTAGCAGTGAAGACAGAAGTATTAAAAATGCAAATGAGCAAGCCCTCGAGGCACAAAATGTTCATAATCATGAGCATGGAAACTCTGTTAGCTTTCCCTTCATTTCCCAAGTTCAATGTGATGTGGGAGAGTCGAGCTTTTCTGCAGCAGATGTTACTACTTATTCAGGGCCAATAGCTCATTCCAGGAGCCTCTCTGTACAATCTGATAGCAGCACAACCAGCACACAATCTTTCACCTTCCCAGTGTAAACTTTTACTCTTTTAGATCTCATCAACACTCAGTTTCTTCCCTTGTTGGGATGTTTCTAGTAACTCATAGCCTCGTCTATTGACAACTTAATTACTTTTTATGTAAAAAATATAGATTGCAATCTGAATGGAAGAGCAGTCCAGTGAGAATGGCAAAAGCAGATAGGAGACATTTTCGAGAACACAAGTGTTGGAAGACAGGCCTTCTCTGCTGTAGATTCTAAAGGCTTTTAATTTATTTATAGGTTCTTAGTTCATATATGCATCATCAAGAGCTTTTAAAGATTAGTACTGTAATTAGTTTGCTTGACAACAAATTTTTAGAAGGTTAATTTTCGTGGTTAGGTTTCTTTAAAGGTTGACTTATCCAAGTTTCCAGCAAGTGGGCAGAAACCTTGAAGGGTTAAGGCAGTACGGAAGTCATAATGCTCGGATGGAAAACTTTCGGTCCTAGACAGTTTGTCCATTCGAAAAGGCTTTGTTCTCTGGAAGACCTATCCGGTATTGTCTGGTATTGCATGGTTCCAGTATGCAAGAACTCCGAATCATTCTCTTAAAGTTCATCCTCTTCATAATAAATCATGTGCTTGCCCTGAAACAAGGGTGATTTGCCTTGTGGAATAGGTTCATAAAGTCGGTGCTTTGAGTTGTCATCAGAACTTGTGCAGGTTCAGATGTGAACCATGTCTAATATGTATTTAATTTTCATATAGCAAAATTTTATTCATTTGTGAATATTTCATATGGATCATTTCATTTATGCAATTTGTTTTTTCAATTATGAGAATTTTATTCTGTGTGCAAATTGGTCATACCCTTCATTCAACTATTAGAAACCGTGTAGAATGATAGTACTAAATCCTGCAAAGTGCACGGTATTGTAGATAAGTATAGTATCATCCCGTGAAGACTATGTATTTAATATAGAATAATTAGTGCTAACTGTAATTTAATATTCAATTTTTTTATGAAAAATTTATACTAATTAACTTTCTAAATTAAATATTCTAATGAGCAAATTATGAAAGTTTTTATAAAATTGGGTTGAATGATTATTAGACTTCAAATCCCTTTCTTATTCCAATTTGTGAGGTGGATCAACTTCATCCACTTGGGACATAAGCATTGGTCTTGAGCATTATGAAAGGATTTTGCTAGTTGATATGGACCATAGATTAAAACCAATGGTTGGATTTAATCTAATGGTCAATTACACATTATAGTCATGTCTCTTTCATAGTAAAATATTTGAATTTGAATTCAAACGGATATTTGACTCTATAATTGCAAGACTATTTTCACCTTATCATTTTGGATTTTGGCATAACAAAAAGAGAGTAAGCATAGAGAGGTAACCAAGTGGGAGAAGTTCATATCTTATCTCCGGTGAAATTCTTGGTGGCTTTCGGCAGATTTACTATCAGTATATCCGTTGCCATTCTCGTGGACGACGATGCATGATCCGGTGTTGCAAAAATCGAAGCTCAACGTCATATGACACTCCACTAGTAGTGTTGAAAAAGTTTTTAAGTCTTTTTGGTTCGGTTTTACACTTTGAGAGTTTATATTTACACATTGTAGTTGTAATAATCATTTCTTCACTACATTGTAAACTCAACAAATGGTATCAGAGCTTAGACTAGTGGTATAAAGAGTTAAAACAACCTGGAAATCGGAATGGAAGTCGAAGGGGAACGGATTTGGTCGAAAACTAGTAGACCCAAAACTTTAAACCCATTTTTCGAAAAAACCATGCACCTGGTGGACGAACGGCGACCACCACCAAACTCCAAAGGACAAGCAGAATCAAACTGTACAGCACGTGAGACACACGCGCCGACGTGGAGGAGGAGGCGCATGAGCACCAATTGCAGAGACGCTGGAAGCGCGTGAGGGCGCTTGTGAAGGATTCAGCCGGAGGTGTAAAAAGGCAGTTTGTTCCTTGTGACACTTTTGACCTCCTGGTGGTGTTGGATTTCAGTTTGGTGCACTATAGAAATAGATATAGCCTCGGCCAGAAAGGTGAAGTGGAGAAAGCTTTTCCGTTGACGACTCTGTAGTGGTTCCTGGGGTTGCAGCAGTTGTTGGATAACTTAGAGCAATTATTGGAGGCCCTAGATCGATAAAGACTCGCATCTCTACTTAAAAGACGAACCAACATATTGGTTCGCTCAGTTTGCGCTTTCTAACACCCTCTCGAATTTACAATTGAGATATTGTGTTATTTTTTATCATATTGTTATTTGACTCTTTTGATATTGTCTATGTGTCGCTTGTTTTGATATTATCGCTTGTGTCATCTTGAAAAGTAATTTATACATAAATTGGTTTGAACTTGCATTTGTGTGTGGGTAAATTGAGTAAGTAAAACTTTTTCGAAAAACATTATTTTTCTACCATGGCCTCTCGAGTTGAATTGGTGCAATTCAATGGTAAGGGAGATTATTCCATTTGGAAGCAAAAAATGAAAGTTATTTTAATCCAACAAAAAGTTTCTAAAGTTCTTGACGACCCGGAAAGATATCCTGATGCATTAAAAACTAAACCGGATGAAATTACTGAGATGAATAAAATTGCACATAGTTTGATTATATTGCATTTATCGGATGATGTGCTAGGACAAGTTGAACAACATAAGACTGCCAAATAGTTGTGGGAAGCACTTGACAAGTTATTTTTGGAAAAATCTCTTCCAAACAAAATACATTTGCTTCAAAAACTTTTCAGTTTTAAGCTCGACTCAGGAAAGGATCTTGAATCCGATTTGTGTGACTTCAATAGACTCGTCAAGTGTTTGTCCCACAACAATAAAAAATTGGATGATGAGTATCTAGCGGTTATACTTTTAAATGCTACGCCTGATTCCTATAGAGAAGTTAGGAATGCTATCACACATTCTAGGGATATTTTGACCCTAGATATTGTGACTGATACTTTGGGGGCTAGGGAGCCAGAGTTGAAGAAAGAGTTGAGGGGTAGCTCGAGAGAAAAAAGTTTGTTTATTAGAGGGATAAATGATACGAGGGAGAACTATTTTCAAAATAAGAAGGGTAGAGGGAAATCGAAGGGTAGGTCTAAGTCTAGAGATAAGAGTGGTAAGAAATACTTTCATTGTGGTAAGTTATGGCATTTCAAGAGAGACTGTAATGACCTTAAGAAGAAATAGAGACCGCAGCAGAGTGATGATCAGAACTTAGTTACTTTAGATGATTCCCTTGATTGTCTACATGTTATGACCGCGTCAGAAGATTTTGACACTGATGTAGATCATGCCCATGATAACATAAATGTCATGAATGTTTCTAATATTGATTTTGACACTGAGTGGATTTTAGACTCAAGTGCTACTATTCNTTTTATTAGACCCCTTAGAGTTGTTAAGTATGTCCTAGTCCTAGCAAGAAATCTCATTTCCTTAGTCACTCTAGAAGAAGAAGGTTATGAGTTCATGTCGCATATTAGTACTTTAAAGATTTGTAAGGGGTCTCTAGTAGTTATGAAAGGTCCTAAGAGAAATGAACTATATATCCTTCAAGGTGAAGCCTTAGGTAATAAGGAGTCGGCATTATCTTCCGTCTGTGAAGATAAATTAGATCTTTGGCACAAAAGGATGGGACACATTGGAAACATGGGATTGAAATATCTTAGTGACCAGAATTTACTTGGTAAGGATAGTGTTACACCTTTAAGCTTTTGCGAAACATGTGTTCTAGGAAAATTACATAGAGTTAGCTTTGGGATAGGTGAACACAACACTAAGAGACCATTGGACTACATTCATGCAGATTTGTGGGGTCCAAAAAAAATCCCACACGTGGAGGGAACAATTTTTTTCTGTCCATGGTTGATTATCACTTGAGGAAAGTTTGGGTGTATCTCCTTAAACCCAAATCTAAAAATTCTGATCCTAGAGCTGAACGTGTCATAAGAACACCTAGGTCTCGTAAGAACACTGCACCTTAAGTTCGTTTTCAACAATCGTATGTGTCTGAGCCTAGATTTGTACCTACTTGCCATCGCTGTAGTGCTTTGGGTCACATTAGGTCGAGGTGTCATATGCGTGTGCGCAATGAGAGAAATCAGAATATTCCCAGGTCAATTATCTTTCCAGTCAAGTTCTTCAACTGACTGAGATGATCTCTCAACTGACTAGGGCTACTTCCACTACTAGGAAGGCAAGGGTCAAGAAATTTGATCTTGACCATATGGCAGCTGTTGGTGCTTATGCACCACACTAATCTCATGTGCGGGCATCTGCATGCATGGTCAATTACGCAGGTGTACCTTGCATTCATCAGACACTTTGCATGCGTTTAATTATTTTTGTGTTCTGGTTTATTTATCTTTTATTGCTGTCTGCATTTTTATTTGTCTTGTATGCTTGACATTCTTTTTTTATTTTTGTGATTATTTCATTCAAAAAAAATTTATTGTTTTTTGGTTTATTTTGTGGACTACTGCATCATGTGTGTGAAACTTGACAATGCATGTTGAGTATGAATATGCATTTATCTGATGAATAGTCCGCATTCCATCACATAATTGTTGTTTTCTCTGGAGTATTTAGTATATGTCCAATCATGTATTCTTTGCACCACACATACTATGACCATGTAAATAGGTCTTGACCGCATGTGTGAAACTTGGGATGGCTGTCACTTGTTGATAGGGTAACTCTGAACTTGAATTGACTAATTATGTTAGACCTAATCTCATGCATATACCCTTTTTTTTACTGAACATTATGCTCATTATCTTAATGTTCTCTTTGAGCTATTTGACTCGAGCAATTAAGCCTGCGATGTATCTCTATATCTGGTGTATAGGTCCTAACGTGTTTAAAATTTTGACTTTCATAAGTAGAGAATAGACCTATTGACAGTGATTTTTGGAGTGTCCCTTCTCACAAAATTAAGGTTTGGAGTCTGATTTACTTGGAATTAGTGACACATTACACACGTGAGTCACATATACAACTTACTTCGGTTAAACTTGATCTATGTGTGTGGGGCAGGACTTATATTCTCATATTTCGCATATTTATGTTCGAATGTATTTTCTTGTTAACCAACATGTTGAAATGCATGCCATGTATTTATTTTTAAAAAAAAATCGAGTGGTGCTAAAACTAAAAGTTTTGAAAAAGGTGATATTTTTGTCATTTCTGGAAAACTGTGCTTCAAATTGGATTTTTCAAAATTTTGGTGCTGTTTTTGACATTCGATCTGTCGCTCAAATGTCCCTCGACCGAGCCTTTCAGATTGGTCTCGCTCGAGCAACGGTTGCGTATAAGGCGCGATTGCAACCTCATTTTTACTCATTTTTTTCGAATTTTTCTATCAAACTTCATACACCCTTCAAC